GCCTGTGCCAAAACTTACTATGAAACACAGTGGCTAGGAGAATAGATTCTAGAATCAAACTCTTTTCTGCTGTGTAGCATTATACAAGTTACTTAACTTCCATGTCATTGTCTTTTCTCAGGAAATGATAACAAAATTGATCTCAGTGGGTTGTTTCGAGAACTCAGTGAGTTCACGTATGTAGCATGCCTGAAGCCTGAACAGTACATGGCTCATAGTAAATACTACATAAAGTGACTGCTATTATCCCTGTGGAACAGTGGTCTTCCTGGTTTTTACTTGAGGAACTTTATGATTAGTGGTGCATTAGGCCTGTGAATATAAAATAAACTGAAAGTAAGTTACTGCAAAAATTAAACGGAAAAGAAAAGGAGAGGGGACAGCGGGAAGGAAGAAGGAAAGCATGGTTATCTTTTTAGAATGGGACCTATAAAATAGAAGGAATTTTTCTTATTATATTAAAAAATCTAAAAAGAAAATCCATATTTACTAAAAAGGAAGAAAGAGAGAGAGAAAGGGAGAGTCTATCTGCCTGTTTATGTCCCACCCCCCTGCAATGGCCAGGGCTGGACCAGGTCAAAGTTGGGAGCCAGGAACACAACCTGGGTCTCCTGTGAGAATGGCAATGACACACAAATTTGAACCCTCGCCTGCTGCTTTCCAGAGAGGGCACAAGCAAGAAGCTGAAATCTGAAGTGGCTCTCCATATGCGTTATGGGTTTCCAAACTGGTCTGCTCAATGCTGTACCTAATGCCCACTCCTGCTAATATTATTTCTGCAACTTATACAGACTTGAAAAGTGATTCAAGTCACTAAGCCTAGATAAGGGTACTGGTAAAGAAATGATACTTCAGAAGGAATAGCTTAGGTGATAATGCATAAGAACTGTTGAAAAGATAAATTTTTCTTTGTCCCACGGGAAAGCACAGATCACAGTCAAGGGCAAAGACGGACTATAACCAAACCAACGCAATCCACCTCTCATGAGATTTGGTGCTGTTAAAAATCTTAGTGGGATTCTTACTAATCTAATTTTGCATTAAACAATCAGTGCCTAAAATAATTAGGATTTCATTTAGAAACAGTTTTAATACACTGTTGGTCAATTATATTAACAAGCATTTTGTTGGACTTCAATAGGCACCAAAAGCTAGAAAATTCTTTATTTTTTCTTTTCTCACTGAGATGCTTCACAGAATAAAAAGAAAAAATTTAATAGTAAAACAAAAAGGAGTTTTGTTTTTAATCAAATGAGCAAAATAATGGATTTCAGAAACAGTGACACTTCAATGGTAATAGATTTATTCATGTTTGAGTTCACCCAAAATTAGTTTTACTCATTTATTTTTCCTCTTTCAGTTTGTCTTTGGGCAATCTTGTTTCATTTCTTTAAGAGGCAGAGAGACAGAGACCTTCCATGCACTAGTTCACTGCCCACACACCCACAATGACAGAACTGGGCCGACCTGTGAGATGGGAACTGGGTGTAGGTCTCTCATGTGATTGGCAAGGACCTAACTGCTTAAGATGGCCCTTGTGCCCCCAGGTTTGGTATCAGGAGGCCCCTGGGATGAGACCCCGCGTGACACTCAACCCAGGTACTCGAAGACCAAGGTATCTGCACCAATTAAGCCAAACACTTGGCCCATAAAGGCAATCTTTTTATCACTGTTGAGGTTTTTGTCATCCAAATCTATACTTCTGTATTTCCAAAAAACATATATGTATATTTAGGATTTACAATACAAAGAGGAAATGGTAGTGGCATCAAACTAAGCAGAGAAATGAATCAAGATGTACTGCTATTTTTTTCTTTGCTCAAACAATGGCTTTAAAGTGTTTTGGGGCCTGGCGCAATAGCCTAGTGGCTCAATGCTTGCCCTGCATCCACTGGGATCCCTTTTGGGCACCAGTTTGTACCCTGGCACACTACTCCTGAATTTGACAGGTTCAAAGTAATATGTTCTTAGGAACAGGGCAAGAAAATGAGTAATGGTATAGCCTATGACATCCTCTGACTGGCTTCAGTGGCCTAAATATCACATAGCAAAGTGAAATTCAACAGGTTCCTTCTAACAGAAAGACACTTAATATCCCAAGCATATAATCATAGACATATAATTGGATTAACTTTTTAGAGTTTCAAAAATGACATTATATGCCAAAAGCAAAATAAGAAACAACTTAACCATTTCATGCCTCACTTGAAGTCCAAGCAGGTGTAGGACTAAAACTAGAGCCATAATATGTTCAAAAAATAATTCTGTGGAAGCATTTGAAAAAATTTTATTTATTTGAAGGGCAGAGTATAGAGAGAGAGAGAAAGGGACAGATAGAGAGCTATCTTACATTTGTTGGTTCATGCCCCAAATGACAATGACCATGGCTGGGCCAAAACCAAAGCCAGGAGCCTGGAATTCCTTCTGGGTCTCCACGTGGTGGCAAGAGTCCAAGTACTAACACCCTCCCCTTCCACCTTTCCCGACACCTTAGCAAGGAGATGAACTGGAAGTAGAGCAGTGGGTACTTGAGCTGGCACCCATGTAAAATGTTGAAGGCAGCAGCTAAACTTGATAAGCCACAATGCCAGCCCCAAAATCTGGAATTTAAAACTTTAGTTCTTAAAATTCATTATTATGGAAAAATTCTACAGTACATACCAAAAAAGTACAATATATAGAAAAAACCCTAAAGTTTAGAGTATTAATTCCACAAATTTTACTCTCATGTGGCTTCACCTACTATAATCTCAATTTTACCCTGACCCTTCCCTTTTTCTAGGTATCAAATTATGCCATTTCTAAAGCAAAACCTTATCCTTTTAATCAATCATTGTTAGATTTTGAGGTTTTATCTCATTGTCTTTTAAATATCTATGCTGATGAAAGAGAAAATTGGTGGTTATTGAAGGCAAAGAAAATCTGCATTTTTAATGAGAAATTCCATATTTCTCATATCTAGACAATGGGCACCGCTGACGGAGGAGATGGATCTGACATGACAGTAGTCACTTAGTTCAACAAACATTCATTGGCCACTAAAGCTGGAGCTAGGTGCTGGATATACAAAAATGAGTAAAACAAACAACCTTTCTCTGGAATATGTGAGACTGACATATAAACCGGAGGCATTAATATGATAAAGAAGAGATTAGGACAATGGTGTTGTGTATGTATGGGGTGGGAAATAGAGAACAAGGCCACTCAAACTACATTCGATAGCCAAGACAGGATTCTGGAAAGAGAAGACAAATGAGAAACACTGCAATATATATATATATATCCAATAAATAAACCTAAAAATCAAGGTCCTTTCAAACAGACTTCCTCTATTTAAGTGACCAGGGAATCAGGGAGGAGACTTCTCAATGAATATTGTCTGAAAAGCTAACATAACATCAAGAATTCTGAAAACAGCCACTACAGCATACTTGGTGAGGAATACTGAAGAGAAAGGGGCCTGATCTCCACTCTCAAGGTGGTAAGAAACCGCATCAGGAAAAAGGAAATGTACATTACAAACCCTCACTGTACTACAGTTAACTGAAAGTAAATAAACAAAATGGACCACGTATGCCCATACCACCATACATCAGCTTGGAGTTTAAGAACTATGAGCATCTGGGGTTTATTAAAAGCAACAGTGAGAAGAGAAATTCTTGCAAGCTTCGGAAAGATAAATTACTTTGCACAATGAGATCAGGAAAGATTGCAATCTGACCTCCATGGCAATATAACAAGTCAAAAGACAGTGAAACAATGCTTCAAAATACTAAAATAAACAGAATCTTACATCCAGTGAATGCATTAGCTGAGAAGAGTAGAATATAGAATTTTATAATATGCAAGAGCTTAAGGAATTTACTCCCATGCCCTTCCTCAGGAATCTATCAGAAGAGCTGTTCATACAAAACAGAGAAAGCAAGAGAGGGAGGACAGGGAACTGAGAAAACACGACTTCCAAACATTCTGTCTTAAAAACAGCCCTGAAGGAGGTGCTTGGTTAAGACGGAGTCTCTTACCAGGGTACAAGATTTCAGTTCCTGGCTCTGGCTTCTGGTTCCAGGTTCTAGATCTCAGAAGGCAGCTGTGATAGCTCAAGTCACTGGCTTCTTGCCAACCACAGAGCCCTGGATTGAATTCCTTGTTTTTGCCCAGTCCAGTCTTGACTTCCTTCTCCACCTCTTATTAAAAATGGAAACACCTGGCCCTTAGCTTATTTTAAGAAAGTCAAATCAAGTGCCAGCATGGTGGCACAGCAGGCTAATTTTTCACCCTGTAGCACCAGTCACCCATGTGGGAGCCAGTTCATGCCCTGGCTGCTCCACTTCCAATCCAGCTGTTAGTTTATGGCCTGGGAAGGCAATGGAGGATGGTTCAAATTCTTGGGACCCTGCACCTATGTGGGAGACCTTTAAGGAGTCCTAGCCCCCAGCTTCAAGTCAGCCTAGCTTGCTCTGGCAATTACAGCCATTAGGGGAATGAACCAGTCAAAAGAAGACCTCTTCTCTTCTGTAAAATCTACCTAAATCTTAAAGAAGAAGAAGAAAATTCAAATCAGGGGCTGGTGCTATGGTACAACAAGTTAAGCTTCTGCCTGCAGTGCCAGCATCTCATATAGACACTGGCTTGAGTCCCAGCTGCTCCACTTCCAATTCAGCTCCCTGCTGATTTACCTGGGAAAGCAGTGAAAAATGGCTTGTTCTTGAGCCCCTGAACCCCCATAGGAGACCCAGATGAAGTTCCTGGCTCCTAGCTCCTGGCTCCTGGTTCCGGCCTGGCCCAGCCCCAGTTGATGTGGCCACTCAACAGAAGATATCTGTCCTCCTCTCTAACTCTGCCTTCAAATAAAGAAGTTTTGAAAGACAGTGAAAACATTACAAAGGCATTCACTCGATTTTTTGAAACAGTGAAATATGTCACATGCATCTAGGTTTACATAGCTATATTTTTATGGCCATCTGACAAAAAAAAAGATTTCAAGAGGTTTTCAACCTTACCTGTAACACAGCAGCAAATAAGTACACGACTACGAAGATTACAGTCAAAGAAGTATGGCCACTTTTCATCAAATGAATAGTATAGAGGAATATTAAATGTCCAGGAATTACCAAAAGCAGTAGAACTTGGGCAGACTTATTATTTACTCCTGTAACAGAAAATGTAAAAGTCATTCAAATAAAATCGTATTTTGGCTAGTAGTAGATCTTAGTTATTATAATTTGAGAATTACTTTCTTATTACTACATAGAATTAAAATTCAATTGTAATAAATTTCAACTATTTACAATGCACTTCATTTGAATTTCCCATTATTTGTTATATACTAATTACAGCTGGTTGTTTAAAATTTGCTATGAAGAATACTGGTCAGAGTTTAACATCTTTCATAAAAATAAAGAGACGATAAAAGAGAAAACACAAAATGCTTAAAGTTCTGTGACATTTTAACTTTATTCCTTTAAAGTTCTGTCACTGATATTGCTGGGTTAGGCATTTCTTTTTAAAAATATTTTAAAGACTTTTTATTTATTTGAAAGGCAGAGTAAAAGAGATAGGAGGCAAGAGAGAAGTGATATGTGCGAAGCAGGGCAACAGAAAAGGGGAAACAGGAAAGAGAGAGAATCTTCCATTGCTGGATTACTCTCCAAATCACCACCAACAGCCAAAACTGGGACAAGGTGAAGCTGGGAGCAGTAACTTCATCTTGGTGCTCCACATGGCTGACAGTGATCTAAGCACGTGGGTCATCATCTGCTGCTTTCCCAGGTGCATCAGCAGGAGTCAGATTGGAAGCAGAGCAGCCAGGACTCCAACTGGCACTTTGTTATGGGATGCCACCATCACAAGCTGTTTACAACACGAGCCTGAACTCCTGTCATTAAGGCAGAACCCAGCCTGTCTCTTACAAACTGTCCTTGTCTGTCCTTTATCAAAATTCACTGGATTGGGGGAATGATGGTGCTGAACCCACAAGATTCTAACCACGATATTCAAGACGTCATTTGCAGTGCTAGCGCTGTGGCACAGCACAAAGGATCCTGCCTGCAGCACTGACACCTCTTATGGGTGTCAGTTCGAGCCCTGCCTGCACTCACTTTCTTTCATTACAGCAATGTCAGTGATTGGCTTTCTGCGCATTTAGTGAGCAGACCTGGAGCAGAGTTCTACAGCAATACCTCCACCTAGCATGGGGTTGTTGATCTATAACAATGTGGGCCCTCAATATTTTTAATTTTCATTTTATTGGGATGGGAAAGACGAAACAACAAGAGATTTGCCCTCTGTTGGTTCTATCTGGAAATGCCTCTAACAGCCAAGCCTGGACCAGGTTGAAAGCTAAGAGCCTGGCACTCATCCTGGGTCTCTGACAAAGATGGAAGGATCCAAGTACTTGAGCCATCACTGCTGCCTCCCAAGGTGCACAGTAGCAGGAGGCTGGAATCAGAAGTGCAGCTGGGACTTTACCCAGGCACTTTGATCTAAGACGGGGAATGTCAATGGTGTCTTAACTGGTTTGGCTGGACAGTTCTGATCTTTATTCAATGCCAATAATCACACTTACTTTCACTGGCAAGGGGAGGGGAATGAGAAGGACGTTCTACACTGTAAGGTTCTACATTGTGGCCTTAGTTTTTCAGTGTCTGCCTGACAGCAATAACACACTGTTTCTTGCAACTAAGATTATCCGTTTTCGTGTTTTAGAATCAAATGGCTAAATTCAGAAGGGCCAAAAAGATTAACATCAGAAAAACAGAACAGATCGATCTCCCTACATCACTCAGCAAGGCTTTGTCGTGCACTTTTTTCCTGAGAAATAAACGAGATAGTCCTGAGTGAGGAATAGAAAATTACAGAAAGGACCTTTAGAAACTGATCTTTGTTCATGGAAATAAGCTATCTGAAACCAAACAGCTATGCAACTTGCATATATTCACACAAACAAATATTGCCTGCCTATAGTTTTAAAGAGCAATAGTCTCTGGAATAAAATATACAACAATCCACAAGCACATACCTGGACCAAAAAACGTTCTGAATGGGTAGTAACAACCTTTGGGTTCATCAGGCAATTCTCCTGGAATGCTATGTAAATGCAGGTAGGTTGAAATCCTGCTAGCCTGAATGGCCACCAAATTGCCACCAATACCTAAAAGGAAAGGGGAAAAAAGTAGTTATCCCCGTATTTTAAACTTGGATAAATTCAACCAAAACCAAGTCTCTTTCTGTCATATTCCAGGCCATGAGAATATGGTTCTTCTGACATGCTTATTCTCACTTATTTAAAGTTGAGGTGTGTGGAAGGTCTCCCGGATGTGATGGACTGGGAAAGCCCCTAGTTAGGGCCAAGCTCCAGCCGCACAGACGGACAAATCACTTCACTGGGGAAACCCATTGGACCACAAGAAAACTCCCCCTAAAGAGAGACAGCCCTCAGGGCACAGTGTGTGCTGCACGATGCCTGTCGTGTGCTCGCTCTCTCTCTCTCTCTCGCAGCAAATTCAGTGTATCTAAGCTCACTCAATCTGACTGTTCTGGTGAATTCTTAGCCTCATTTGGTTGCTTGCCATGACAAGTTAGGTATTCCAAAGGCATCAAATCATTGTTATGACAGATTCATTAGTTTTTCAAACATGACTGATACAAAAGCAGACCAGAGCATATAATTTATAGAAAACCACCATCACAACTAGATCTAAAACTAGGTAACCAGATGTTCCACATCTGTTACCTTATCGAGAGGAAAAACAAGATGAATGCATTCAAATAGGTAAGATTGATGCTTTGCTTCTCAAAATGACTTCAGGCACTGAAAAAAAAATTACCTGGATTATGCTCTCACATACTAAGGTGGGGAGGTTGATGACAAATAAAATCCATTCATTAAAATGCACCGTAGGGCCCGACAGCGTGGCCTAGCGGCTAAAGTCCTCACCTTGAACACCCCAGGATCCCATATGGGCGCCGGTTCTAATCCCGGCAGCCCCACTTCCCATCCAGCTGTCTGCTTGTGGCCTGGGAAAGCAGTCGAGAATGGCCCATAGCCTTGGGACCCTACACCCCTGTGGGATCCCTGGAAGAAGTTCCTGGTTCCTGGCTTCAGATAGGCATAGCATCAGCTGTTGCGCTCACTTAGGGAGTGAATCATCGGATGGAAGATCTTCCTCTCTGTCTCTCCTCCTCTCTGTATATCTGACTTTCCAATAAATAAATAAATCTTTAAAAAAAAAAAAAGGCACTGTAGACAAAGTGAAAAGACAAGCCACAAAGGTATGAGAATAACTTGAAACATACAGGGGAAAAATGGAATTAAAAATTAAGTATTTTGTTACAAAAAAATCTGGCAGGGAGGAGAATTTAACAAAATGGATGTAATCCTTTATAGCAAAATAAATTTATCTTTAAATTCCGTTTTCCACGATCATTCTGATATCTCTAAAAGGCTAGCATCCATAATATACAAGGAATCCTTATACATAGAAAACAAGAGAGTCAGATGGATCACAGACAAGGCTAATGCAGACTGCTAGCAGGGAGAGGAGGCGACATTCAACACCAGTGGGCATCCAGAACGAGCAGGAAAGCCCCATCAGTATCAGCGCATACTTATCTGGACTGACACATTGTTAGATGGAACACAACACATGGCAGTATATGGGTGAGAACTGAGAAGCTAGAAAGAGTGTAAATTGTTATCATCTCTTTGGAAAACTCGTTGGCACTGCTGATGTGCAGAACCTATAATCTAGCAATTCCATTCTCAAATAAACAGAGAAATGCTTGCTTGTATTGCACCAACTGCATGAATGAGCTCTCAAAGAAGCACACAATCAAAGGGTCTGAAAATGTTAAAATAAACTCCTGCAGGATTCCATCTTTCTGAATATACTGGCAGCAAGGGATATTTTTGTACTAAAAGAGAAAATCTAACAGGCTGTCTGAGTCAGATGCCAAAATCCAAAAATTTTAATGACATCACAGAGAATCCAAATACAGCCATCCTCCACTGAGAACATCACCCACTGCTGATCCAACCTGCTTGGCAGTAAACAGATTCCCCTCAACAACAAAGGTGAGGTTATCTTGGCTCTTCTTAAATAGCCCTATCTGGTTGTTGTTAGGATAACTTTGCGTGATAACTTAGGATGTTTTTTATGAACCAGCAATAAGTAAGTTACTATGCAGAAGCCTAACCCTGCTAAGCCAAATCTAAGCAGCTCATTGGTTTATATGACCTGCATAATACCTGATACACAATGAAGTAATGATATTTATTTCATCCTAATAATCCTGATTTGCTACTGCAGGAATAAAATTTTACTATTTTTTTAACCACAGGAAGAAATATAAGTAGGAAAACAGGGAAGTATAAGCTATTGCCCCCATACACATTTTCAGATAGATTTTTGTGACAACACACCAAAAGCCAACAAATTTGATACATTTTAAAACAAATAATAATGACTCGGGTCCAGCGCATAGGATCAGTGGCTTGATCCTTGCCTTGCATGAGCCAGGATCCCATAGGGGCACCGGTTTGTGTCCTGGCTGCTCCACTTCCCTTCTAGCTCCCTGCATGTGGCCTGGGAAAGCAGTAGAGGACGGCCCAAAGTCTTGGGAGCCTGCACCTGTGTTGAACACCCAGAGGAAGCACCCGGCTCCTAGCTTTGGATTGGCTCACTTGCAGCCACTTGGGGAGTGAACCAGCAGATGGAAGATCTTTGCCTCTCCTTCTCTCTGGAAAGCTGCCTCTCTAATAAGAATAAATACCTCTTTTGAAAAATAATAATGACTTGATTTTAAGCAAAAAGTAACTTCATGATTTTCTCATCACATCTCATTTACTAAGTAAAAAATTTATTAAAAGCAAGTGCTAAAGTTAATTTAAAATGCAGTTCATGATAAATGCAGTATATCCCAGGGAGTTTTAAAAAATTTTCTAGACGAAAATAAATTTCTTTAAAAATATATATTTAAGTCATGTTGATGAGGTGGAATAATTAAGGCACATGAAGGCCACGCTGCTTTCTGGGAAATCTGATGCCGGCTCATGCCACATGAATTTGAAAGCTACTCACCACTTACAAATCCTGCAGTGGCATTTAAATTCCTGGAGCTCTTTTTCTACTCTGAAAAAAAAAAGATCTAACGTTTACTTCATAAGGATGTTGGGGGAATTAAATAAATTGCCTACACAAGGACAGTTAGCACAGTTTCTGGACACAGAAAAGGCTCAACAAATGTCAACTATTATTATTAATAACAAACCATTCACACAAATATTATAATTTTGACTTGGTGTTATCTTAACTGTAGGTAAGACAAAGTCTAGGAACGGTATTATTCTTCCTCTCATGTTGTCTTATTTAAAAAAAACAAATAAGGAAGAAAAGAGAATCTGCCTTTCCAATAAAAATAAATGGCAAGAAAAAGAATAGAGAAGACTAGATAATCTGGGACCCATATTTTAAATCATCATTTAATTTGCCTTCTGTTAATAAATTTTCTACCAGAATTTAGTGATGATTGTTTAAACCTCTGCCAGCACGCCAGCATCCCATATGGTTACTGGTTCAAGTCGGGGCGGTTCCACTTTTGATCCAACTCTCTGCTAATGGCCTGGAAAAGCAGCAAAGGATGGCTCAAGTTCTTGGGCCCCTATATTCACATAGGAGACCCAGAGGAGGCTCCTGGCTCCTGGCTTCAAATCAGCCACGCTCCAGCTGTTGCCTCCATTTGGGGAATGAACCAGCAGATGAAGATCTGTCCCTCCTTCTCTCTGTAACTCTGCCTTCCAAATACAAATAAAACATGAATCTTTAAAAAGAAGTTTGAATTTTCTCAGTCTAAGCTCCTTTTCTGAACTAAAGTTTTAGACAAGAGTATTGAGGTATTAAGCTGTACCCACAGTATCTGTGCCAGCTAGAGGTAGGCCAGGGGTCTGAGCTGGAGTAGGAGCGGGGGTTCTCCTGAAGGCCTTTGGCGTTGGCAAGCAGCCTATGCTTTCCCATCCTTTTAGCATCAGACACATCAGGATCTCTGATCTGAGGGACCAAAGCCCTGGGGTACGTGCCCTGGCTTTGACATACACATTGCACGTTAGGCCACCTAATCTCCTGACTCCTGCACAATGAAGAGGAACCTACACACTGCTTATTCCAGTAGACCAAACTCAGACCTCAAATACCTCTTCAAAAGGCAAAAAAGTAAGTAAAAAATTGCTACTGCCATATTGAGACTATTGTATCTTAGGCAGACATGTGTTTTCCTGCCTCTTCTTGATTCTCTCTGGAAGCTGCTATTGATAGCACTCCTTAGAAGATTTATGATTGTCACATGAACTTTAAAAGCCAGACTGTTGTTTCAGGGAATTTGACATGCACTTCAGAACAAATTCTACAGCAAGTACTAAGGCTGTGGACACTCTGCCTGAGGCAGTCAAGGACCTCCTCCTGGCCCTAGATTCCACACTCACAGAACAAGGAGGAGCCTGTTTGGTGATTAATGGAATCTATCATCTCTACTCTAACAATAGTGTGTTCTCTGAAAGCAACATTCGAACGTCTTTACACCCAAGCTAGATGACTTTACGATCTACACAGGGACAATCATCACCCAGTGTTTGAGAAATGATAAAATACAATCTTCCCTTTTTAAATAGCATTCTACCAGCAATTGCTTTCTATTTAATTTTGTTCATGCTGATTGACAAATCTGTCCAAAAATCCAACAACTTCTCAGAGTAATGACCACAACGGGGGAGGGGGAGACACAGCCATTAGCACTAAATGGACATTCTCCAGGCTTTGAGGTGGACCCACTAGCTGAGACAGATAGATGCTTCCAAATCTAGCATACTCAAGGCCTACACTCCTAAACAGCATGATGAAACTACAGAAGATGTGATACATCTGTATCCTCCTTCAGCCCTTAAGATGGAGGTCAGAACTCCCTGAGAGGAGGGACATGCAATGGGACAGGCATGCAGCTGCCTTAGGGTCACGAGTTGGAAGCCACACTTCCTCTACCCTATGTAATACTATCTGCCTGCCAGTCCAATGATCTCTTCCCTAGGATGCACTTTCCCCTCTCTGGGGACCCAGGAGTCCTATCATCCAGGCTCAGTGCTCTCTCTTCCCACGGTCACAG